TTTTTTTTTCACACAATAAACTACAAGACAAGAATAAAATTATTACCACCTCTGCTAATTTGTATCTTTAAGTTGCTACCCCTTTTTTTCTAATTTGGTGGTATTGGCTTGGTTGTATAGGCTGTTGTAGATAATGGGCTGCTCTAATTGGGTAGTATTGGCTTGGGTTGGATGTGTTGCTGTAGATAACAGTTTGTCTTGTTGGTGGTTGTAGGATAGGTGACTGCTGTAAAACACTTATCGTGGTGAACCAAAACCTAATCAAAGGAGGAACTTCTTTTTCCTTTGATACCAAATTGACGCCGGATGTAATAGGAGAATTGTAGGAGAAAGGGAAAGGAGGGAGAAGAAGAGAAAGGAGGGGGAAGAGAGAAGAAGAGGAGAAGAGGAGAAAATAGAAATTAGGGAGAGAAATCAATTTATTTCATCATCAAAATTTGTTCCAATTACATTGCATAGATCCCTCTATATAGGGTTTAAACTTATGATAATTAAAGTAGGAAAATACTATAAATAAATGACTAATTATGTTTCCTAAAATACGCATTAAAATTGGAAATTAAATATATTAATATCCCTTCTAATATTGCATCAGAAAGCATGAAATCAACCCTCATTTATCTTTCTGGTAAATGGACACCCCTGGATTAATGAGAGAGAACAGGATCAAAAACTAACATAAACTAATGAAAAAAAAAACAATTTTCTTTGCACATTGCCGTCAATACAGTGAACTACATTAGAAAGAAGATAAGACTGACCTTTCTAAAGTTTCTCTTTTGCTCTTCAGTAAGATTCAAATCTCTTTCATTTGCTACAGCATCTGCAACAAATGGATCACTTGAACTGACATCAACATCATTAATCTCCTCTACCTGACAAGAGTAGATGGGAAAGAGATAAAGGAACTTCTCAAAATGAAACTACACTGAAAAGAACTACTAACAACAGAATCTAAAGCAAGCATGATGAAGTTTCTAGAATCAAGCATCAATGTTTATCCAGGTACTAAATGGTTCAGAAGAACTTTCAACAACTTAAAGCTGCAAAGTCTAGGGCCAGTTCTGCTCCTCGCCCTCTTCTCTCTTCATTATCACAATTATATCAACCCTTCCTAATGGACTAATATTGGTTTAAATTTTTCCTAGAGGTTTCACTATTTCAAGGATGAAAATTGCATTCTCATTTCAAGGGATTAGGAATTGCTTGACATGAGCTACATAATGATATATGCACCTAGATTGTGAGATCTTTCCCCAGCAGATCTAAAAGATTTTATTCAATTTGACCGATACTTTTTTGAAACTTTCTGATGATTACACCAATTTACAACTTACGCTTGGATTGTTCGACAATTGAAATATCAGAAGCAGACAAATTAGATGTACTCATGCTAAGCCTGACAAAACTCAATGAAAAGATAAAGGACCTAAAGCAATCAGCTTAGTCCATATATTATTTGGAACAATAGAGAATGGTTGTGATTAAAATAGGAATATGAAAAGAAAACAATTAACACAATAGAACAAATTCATTTATCAGATGGAAGCCAATGATAAATCCATGCAGCTGTTACATCAAAAAGCTAGGTTTTTCCAAAGATCTACAATAAAACAATTTTATATATTTCACCTCGTTGACTCCTGGAAAATTTAGACACAGTTCAGCAGCTTGCTGTGGTGTACTGGCCAGATAGACAGAAGCCCAGTGCTCACTGCCAAATTTGATATTCTCTATTGATGATTTGTCAGAGCACATCTTGCTGAAAGAGTCCCAATCAATATCTGAACTGGTTTTTGCAGCTTCATTGTTTTCGCTGTTAAGTTTTTTCTCGAGGAAACCACTGGCACCCTCCTCCATAATTTTACCATGCCGTCTGTCCCCACAAGAAAGATTTCAACTTAGAAAGATATAAAAAAAGAATTTAACTCAAATGCATATAGATTCATTGGGAAGACAGTGAGCATGCCTTCTCACAGGCCTGTAGGTCTGGAGATAATCTTCAGCTTGCGCAACTGACTCAGTCACATCACTTGACATCTGATTTCCAACCCAATGAGTCCTCTTTTTCCACGCTTCAGTACAGCAACCATTTGGAGCCTGCTTTTCAATCCACTTATAGAGGCTTGAGAGTTCAATACCAGCACCATCAAGTTGTTCCTGCTCAGCGGGACAAGTGAAAAGAAACGATAAACTGTATGTAATACAAAGGAGAAATTGTCAGGGAACTACAAAGTAAACCTTCTTATATCTAATAATTTAATACAATATAGACATAGTTTATGGGAAAACGCCGAGACAAAAAGTCGACATATAACAATACTTAGATTAAATATCAACAGAAGACATAGTTTCCCGTTCCCTTCTTTACTTGTTTAAAAATTTGAAAAATTAAAAGTAAAAAAATTAAGAAGCCAATTTACAAAATTAAATTCCAACAGTACTATTGATACCACTGATGTGGATAGAAGAACTAATGGAAATAGTTGTAAGGATGAAGAGTATCAATATCTAAGAAAGCATACCAACAAATGAGCACTCTCAGTCTCAAGCTCATCGAGCTCAACTTCCCACTCTTCCTTGAATGTTGCCATCTCTTCCTTAACAGCCTTCTCCAACTATCACCCATGAAAAAGAGTTAAAAGACAGGTAAACCAAAAACAAGGAGTACAAAAAAGAAAAGCATAGCAATCCAAAAGATAGGAAAATGCAGAAAAAGAATGAATGCTTTACATCATCTCCAGAGAGAGATTGGGCTAGTTCTCCCCTGACATCCGCCTCTACTTTTGCTAGTGATTCATCTTCAAGTGATTCTTGAGCCTCGGCAGCCTAAAAGTAAACTATTAATTCCAAAGTAGAGCATTTCTTTTCTTTCAGAACATAAAAGAGGAGAAATGATATTTACCTTACCCTCGACTTCTAAAAGTTCAGCAATGAGGTCTTCTATCTCCTCCTCGGTCAATGGTTCCTAAAAAATACAAATTCATATATATATATATATGTAAATAATAAAAGGAGGGAAAAAAATGAAACCCGTGAAAATGTGAGCATAAAAAACAATCAGAACATATT